CCCCAAAACCCCAAAACCCCAAAACCCCAAAACCCCTATATTTAGAAGAATATTGAACTCCTCAAGTCAATTATTATTAATGTTCTTGAGAAAATCTTCTGCTGATAGAGCAAAGAGAAAAGTTTCATTGGATCCATACAAGCCTAACTGTAAGATATTAAGCCAAAGAGCCTAGTCTCTGGGCTTGAGCACATTGCTTTACTATTGCCTTAACTATGTAGCGTTCTCCAAGCGGTTATTGGGAGGTGCTTCAATGCTAAATTTTGGGTATTTTGAAGATAAATTTGAGTCTAAACGAGCCATAAACCTTAGCTTTGATGAAAATTAATATTAACCCTTATTCTTGACTTTGAAGCCTAGGCTTTTATACTCACAATGTGCCGAGGTGTCTTTGCTATGCTCCTTAAAATCTTAAAACTTCTCATTCTTTGTTAAATACCAATGAAAAGCCAATAGCTAATGACATTTTTAAAGAGGGGTTTGGCCACTTTAAAAAGTGATTGTTAGGTTTCCCAGCGCTTAAAATATGTAATAAGCTAAGAGTGTCAAATGATTCCTTAAATTTCATTACTTCCATCACAGGTTCCATATCTAAACTAAAATAGACTTGAAAATGACACAGTGATGTTCAAGCAAACAGTTCTCAGATTCTGAGACCTACAGTGAAATTTTTAACGACTCCTTCGATATTCCGCTTGAGAAGATTCGCTCCCTGAGCTACAAGAAGACAAAGCGTTCTGAAAGTAGACGAGATCGGAGCTTAGACAGAAACTTTGAGGATTTCATCAGAAATGATCATGTCTCCGCACTCAAAGCTCTTGATTTTACTATTAACCTGAAGGATGGCCCTAGCTTGCAGGTTCAGTGCCAGAGTCAACTCAGTCGGAGAGAGCAGCCAAAACATAACTTGATGGATAAGTGTAAGTTTGCATTTATATAACTCTTTGCACTTGTTTTAGCGAGAAGTTTACCCAAAATTATAGCTAAGCCTATTCAGAAATACTGTGCTAGGAAAGAAGCGCCAGCCCCAGTGTTTACCAAAATTAGTGCTCAGAAGAAACTTCAGTGTCTCAAACGAAGGATCCTTGCGCTGAATAAAGGAGGTAAGGCTAGGTTAGGCTCTTATTCATTGCACCTTCACACAAAATCCGAAACTAATCTTGGTTAAACTATAGTTTTAGTCAGTAAGAATTCTAAAAAGAGAAGTGGAGGCTTTCACAATACAAGCAAATCAAGGTTGAAATTGCCCCAGATTAACAGAAAAGTGCTGGATCTGAAAGCCAGAAGGCCTAGGAGTAATCTACTTCTGCCTCCATCAGTGTCTTCTCACTCGTTCATCAGTGGGAAGTTATTTAATTAATCGATTTCAATTAGCCAGGTTTCATTCGGGGTTTTGGGGTTTTGGGGTTTTGGGGTTTTGGGG